TTTTATTGCCAGTCGGCAGTAATAATATCAGTACCACAAGTATACGTAGGCCTATGTTTGCCACATTGAACTGACAACGATGATAAATGTCAAACGTATTGAATTTCCAATACAGACATTGCACTTCAAATCAAATAATGACAATAAATTATGTTATTATTAGACGCTATTAACAATTGTAATAACTCATGTAATGAGTGTTCTGATTGTTCTAAAACACCGGTGCTGTATCCTTAATAACACGTACACGTGTCAATAGTCAATCCTTCAATGAACTAAGCACAGTACGAGTGTCACTTGGTTACAAAAACGTTATCAAGTGCTTAGTTGAAATACAGATCATTGGCATTAACGAGTCAATTAGCCTAAGACGGCATGGTAGAGTGATGTGCGTTCTGGAGGACAGACAAAGACCATATAACCGTGTTGAAATGACAGAATAGCACATCTCAGCTATAAGAACTAAATATCCACGTAAATCTGACGGTCAACTTAACTGATCCAGCCATCCTATATATGTACTTTTGTACATTTTTCTGTGTATCATTCAAGCACCTTTCACAAGACCGTTCGTTACACTTTTACACGTGCAGTCTGTTAGTGAATACATATTACCTAGGCTACACATGTAAAACATCAACTTACACTACATTACATTGATGTTAAGGCAGTTCCTATTGTAACACCAGTCATAAACGAATTCCTAATTCTGATTGGATGTTATTGTACATATGGATTGATTGGATTAGGACAATAACATCCAAATTACGAATGTGTTTAAGACCGGTGTAACTATAGCCACTGCCAATTTCTTTAATAATGTATAGACAAAATTTATTAAAATTACCACAGCTTTAGCTTTTTGGTTACAGTTCATTTATTTCCGTTGTTGTATATATTCTCTGTGTATTATGTTAGTTATTTTATAATCAACTGAAAAGTATGACGAAAAAATGTTTTACCCATCTGTTAATAGACACACTGTTCCTACAGACCCTTTCTAATAAAGTTAGAGATATTCGTAGTGAATTGTCTGTAAGTTTGTACTAGTACTATCTGGTAATAAATTTATTCTAGATTTTATCAAACTGCTAAGCAATGGTTAATATTTAAATCTGCAAATATGTAAAGCTGTACTGAAACAAAATCATGAAAATTTTGAAAGGACAAACTTGACAAAATTTTTAAGAATAACATTTCAGGCCGAGTATAACACACGTACATTCCGAATCAATGTTTATTAATTCATTTACAAAATGTTTATGCTTCAACAATACCACTTAAATTTCACCCTATTTTTATTTGTAATTTATTGTGAATGACGATGGATTGACTCGTAATGTAAGATTAGAATATCTGATAAGTGATTAGGCCTCATTGCTAAGAGCCATTCTCAAAGTGTCTCACTTTCTTGGCTTTGTCAACTGCTGTATCCTGAAATGCTTTTATTATAATTGTAAAAAAAAAAAATAAATAAATAATAACAAATTAATAAATTTAATTACTACATTACTTATTTTTCCGAATCAATTTAACACGACAGAATTTTGTGATGAATACATTGTAATTTTCATACTTTTAACTCGTATTTTGATATCATGCTTGTTCATGATTTTATGTTCTGTGTCACCGAAGAAAGGGAAATCATCTGGGTATGTTATTTACAATTAAAGACATCTTAAAACTTATATGAAAAATAATAGAGCATATAAATAAGTAAATATTTTAATTGGAATACAGTACATTACAGTGTTTTCTTGTAGGCCTTGATTTTTAGGCCAGGGCCTAAAATTTATCGGTACACATATGAGTTAATATGTACTCTATCCGATAAGCTAATAATTTGAGCACGCAGCATGTTACGGTATCTATACAGTAACTAATCAATGCTTAATAATTTGGCTATTACCTTCGAAATATTACATTACCTAACAATTAATAAGTCAACATAACTTGCATTATTCGTTATTAATATTATGAGCTGTAGAACAATAAAATTAGGCCTAATATATAACTTTGTTTGTGTATTCTATTAAATTGCTTGATTTAAATTTGAAATTTAAACAAAATAAAAAAAAAAGAAATATATTCTATGCCCAATCGAAAGACTAATAATACTATCGTTATTATTATCACCTTAAATTGGCGTTTAGGGATTTTCAGATACGAAATCTGTATAATCAGCAAGCATTGAATAGTGTTAGTAATAATAATGATGATGATAATAATAATAATATTAATAATAATAATAATAATAATATTAAGTATTAGTAATAAAGATGATGATGATGATGATAATAATAATAATAATAATAATAATATAATAATAATAATAATAATAATAATAATAATAATAATAATAATAATAATAATAATAATAATAGGCTAATGCTAATAATTATAGCCTAATAAAAATAATAAAATTAATGCTGATGTAAACGATTTATTCTATTGTCGTCACATCGATCACATCAAGAAATTTAAGCACGCAACATATTACCTATACAGTACCTAAACCAATGATTAATAATTATAGTTAAATGCCATTACCTTCCAATTATTATGCAAAGTCAACATAATTTGCATTATTCGTTATTAATATTATGAGCTGGCCCGTAGAAACGTCTTTATTATCGTCATTATAGAGTATGATGGCGCTAATTCGTGTAGAAGCAAAGTAAATGCAGATGCGCCTCGGGTGCAAACTAACACAGGCGGTGAGATACACCTTACACTAGTTTTATTACCGCTACGGGCAACTTCTACTAAATCTATAACAAACGAGTGAATTTTATTGGCTTATATACATACTAAGCACCACATTAAAAACAATATTACAGTAAATTAATTATCATAATTGTAATAAACTGCATATTAATTAATGTATAAATATGGACAGACCTCCGTTGTGTCCTATTACAAATAAGACGAATAATGCAAGTATAAAAGTGAGAGGGTAAGATGAACTGCCGTATTGCTGTATGCCAACCGTTATAATACATGGTAGATTAGTGTTCTTTAATTCATTTATCTTTATCAAAAACAATATTAAATTTAATTGATTATCATAATTTTAATAAACTACATATTTATTATGTATCTAGATCTAGTGTGTATGTTGTGTCTTATTACAAATCATCGAATAATATGCAAGAAAAAAAAATTATGGTTAAGATATGCAATAATAATAATCATATACAAATTAAACACCCCCCCCCCAAACACACACACACACAAATATAAATATATATAAATAAAAATACATATATATATATATATATGTATATAATGATGATGAACCGTAAGAGTTTGCGAACGAGCTTCCACAGTAATGTGTAAAATACGGTACCGGTATAGTATATAAAATCAATGTTGTGTAGGCCCGTAAGTAACAATTACAAAAGTATATACTGTACGCTTTTAATTGCTACTTTAAATAATTACATTTCTTAACATATTATATAATTATGTATATTTATTTAAGCTATATATATATATATATATATTATATATATATATATATTTCTTGCAGCTGTTTAGTTTTTACATTTACTGTAGGCTACTTTCATTTACCAATTGTGTATCTCAACCGAGACCTAGCCATTGTTTTCTATAAAGCATTGTTGTATATATACACTTGTGTGTCTACAAAATTGGATAGGCCTATAAAAGCAAGTTATTTATTTATTTATTTGTGGAACGGGATGGTTAAATATAATAATTGAGTATAGTTAATGCATATTAGGAGTTGGCAAATCAGCACCCAATATTGGTGTTAGATGAGAATGCGGGAGATACCCCATACATGTTGCATGTTCTGTTAACGTTATTAGGTATTGGTTAAGACTGATTTATATGGACAATGAAAAATTTATTAGGCAATGCTATGGCTTTCAATACAGAAAAACACAAAGAAACGAACCTTGTTGGGCCTTAGATGTTAAAAATCTATTATGTTCCATTGGTTTTGGAGATATTTGGCACGAACAAAAAGTCAACGATTTCAATGATTTTGTATTTAATATAAAACAAAGGTTAACAAATATTGAAAATCAAAGGTTTTATGAAGAAATTAGGCAACATTCTAAATTAAAATTTTATTCACAAATTAAACATGAATTCAGAGCAGAGGATTATCTAAAAAATGTAGACAATTACAGACATAAACAAATCCTTACGAAATTAAGATTGGGGATATTAGAATTAGAATTAGAAAGAGGAAGATAGTATAATGTTAATAGAAATGAAAGATTATGCAAATTATGTTCGTTACAAAATGTCGAAGATGAATATCATTTTACCTTAATTTGCCCTTTTTATTCAGATATTAGAACGAAATTTCTATTTACCTGTTACACAGACACTCCGTCCGAATTCAAATTTCTTAATTTAATGTCTACTAAAAATGTTGATCTCATTTCAAAGTTATCAAAATGCTTATTTTACTCATTTAAACGCAGAAAAGAATATTTAGATGCACTCTAATTTTGGTAATATCATATTTCGTATATTATTTGGGCCAGAGGCCTTTATGATTAATAAATGTTCCTTGAACCTGTTTTCAAGGAAGAAGAAGAAGAAGAAGTAATATATATAAAACATAAACTAAAAGGCAAAAGACTTGAAAACTATGTAATAATCCTATGGAAAATGATAGCCCGATCAAGGTTGAATTAAAAAATTATTGATGAACAAAATCTAAACAT